TATATATATATATGTGTATACACATATGTATGTACATATATTCTACATACATACGTACATGCATATATAAAAACAAAAAATTAATTCCAACTAAGAAAGTTAGTGCATCAAGGGTAATGAATGAATCAGTCACTCGATCTGAGACCCAATTCACTTGGCCATCGAGCTAAATGACTGATTTTAACTGAAAAACTCTCGTATTCGCTAACAGAAGAAATTACTGACTGACTCTGATAAGTCGAAATATTTACTAGCTCATTTTAACAATTAAGACGTACATATTGGTATTAGCTGTAGCAGTAAGCCATTCGCCAGCCATAGATACCAAATCCAGTCCACAAGATATCTGGTTAAAGAAGCGCGGATGACCGGTCCGGACGCCCAAACGCAGTACTTCTTGGCAGTCCTAATCAAACGTCAAACTGATCAACAAAAATTAGTAACTTGTTCAATAAGTTATAGAACCCTACCCTTCAAATTGTCGGAGAATTGAGGAAGCTTAGTTTTAGTAAACCTAATTTTTTAAATTCTGCGAGAAAAATGCCCTAGAATCATACATCAGGAAATTTCGTTGAGACCACCAGTGAGCTAGTCATAAGAAAAAGCAAATGAAAAAATCCGCAGCTATGCGGTTCGAGAAGCATATTATGAATTAATGGCTTCTTCAAGTAAGGAAAATTTCATTGATTCCCCCTTAATTTTCTTTTTTTGATTTCATACCTGTAACAGTTGTTGCAGTGTTCGCGGATGATCCGGAATTGAGAGGTCGATGAGTTTTTGCATTTCAGCTGGATGATGAAAATCCAGCACTTTGCTGTCTCTTCTGTTTTCTTCTCTGATGTATTCCAGTAAAATTTTGACAATTTCCTCCAAAAAACATTTTGTGCCATTCCAGTTTTTCGGATTTTGCGGCAATAACTCTGCAAGTCAACCAGATCAAATTGCAAGTGTACATATGTATGTAGGTGTGCTTGTTTATAAATAGTTGAATGCATGTATGTATGTGCATTTGTGTCGTGTCTGTCTGTCTGTTTGCTCCATCAAAATATCAATTTGAGGTTATTTAACTAAGATAAAAGAAGTTCAATTCAGATAAGTCTACTAGAATTTTTTACAGCCAGAAACATGAGAAATCTGTTTAGAAGTGAACGCACTAGGACGGAGGGGTGGGAAGAGAAGAAAAGAAATGGATCCGAGACTGCAGTGCGCCAGACTTGCCAGTGCGATCGTATGTTTCTGTGTTAAACTTGCAGGTCGCTAACAGCCAGGAATGGCTCTTGCGCTGCAGTCTAACACTTGGGCTTATATTGGTAATTTTTTGGCCTTTTTCTGCATGACGGAGAGAAAGGCGTCGGCTGAGACTAAAGTGTTGCGTTGTGAAGCTGCGTAAAACTACAGCATGCATGATTATCAGTTTCTTGCGTGAAGCCCGGTCATTTTTCCGGTAAACGCCCGTTTACTGAAGAAATGTAAGCTTGGAACAAATCGAAAGAGGATTACGAAATCCGCAAAATGCACCCCTTCTCAAGTTTGCGATAAAATTATTTGCCAGTATTTGCCATGCCTGCGCACACGGAATTTCATTTCCAAGAAGAATTAGGACTACGAATGAATATAGAATATCCTTGCAAAGTTTCAACTTCGCAGCTTGTCCGACAAGCAAAATAACCATTTCGACACAAATATGTTTTAAAGTGCCCTAAACTGTGATGCGAGTGCAATTCGAAAGTCAATTTAGGTATACGATTTTATTTATGAACGGTGGATATTCCAACAAAATTTGAGCTACTGCTTTACAACCAGTTTTCGAATGGGCAAATGCTAACTGTGAAATTTAACAGCGACCGTATGTGAGATAGAAGCGCGCAATATCTGAATTTAAAACCTTTAGTTCATAAATGCGCTGAGAATACTTCTACGAAGTTCCAGCTTTCTGTCTTGTCTTGTTCACGAAACCGTTTTCTGCATATTTCTTTAGGGGGTCCGCATGAAAGATCTCTGCATAAAAACGATGATTTTTAAACAAGTGAGTGACAGACGGGGTGGAAATATGCCCTCAAAATTTCAGCCGCCTAGCTTTGCTGAGTTAAAAGTGGGAGATAAAATTCACTCGCTTCCGAACACACACACACATACACATACAGACGACTTCTCGACAATATGCGTTTCTGCTCACTGTAGCATCGCTATAGCACTGCACAGCAAAAAAAGATAAAAAAAGGGAGAAAAGCGACATGGTTTAGGCCATTTTAGAATCACTGTGCTGATGAAGTTTTCTAATTCATAAATGAGTTTGTAATTTAAG